CAGCCTTTAAAAAGGGAGAGAAAAGGGAATCCTGCTTTTGTTTGTGTAATGCCTTCATGAATTTTACGGTGTGTTAAGTGTGAAAGCTGTGGTAAAACTTGGCTCCCATCTGAATATTTATCTGCTTCCTATAGTGTTTGTTGCAAAACAGATAAAGGCTGTGAATACATTGAAGGGATATAATTATCTGCTTCCCTAACTTCTTCCAGTATTTGTACTAGTTGCCAAATATACTTTCTTGCAAGCAGACCTGAATTGAGATGATTTTCACTACTTTATATATCAGTGACTGGAGATCTGGCACTGGGCCTTTGGCTTTTGCCATAGATGGATGGTTGGAACCTCACCATGCTTCTGAGTGACAAACACTTGGCTTGTTTGTCTGACATATGTGCTTGGGAGTTTCAGCTCATTTCCCTCAGTGCACTTGTCCACAGTGAAAAAAATAGCAAGCATGGAAGCTGTCAATTGTTAATTACTCTTGGGTGATGAAGAGGTCAAGCTTTCCTGTGGGCAGGGAAGGGAGATAAAGGTAATTACTCTAACTTGTGCACAAGCATCTATGGCCCCAAATATCAATAGGGCAGTTTAAAATGTTAACACTTGCATAGGTATATTCATCTTGTATGACTAACTGCAGTTTGTAGGGGGTTTAGCACTAAATATATAGCAAAGGAAATAGTAAATGTAGCTACCGTTTTAAAGGATTTATGTTCTTGTAGTGAATTTTCATTAGGCCTTCACTAGAAAATTGTATTTTAATCAAAGCAGTACTGTTTTATCATTATAATTTCCGAGTCATAATTGTTTCATGTGTAGTGATAGATGTAAGGATCACAAAGCCATTCAATCACAGTAGATAAAAGTAATGAAATCTATTCAGAGGTTGAAAGCTAAAGGTTGGATCCAAGGCACCCTCCAAGTGAGGCTTGTCACAGCTTCTTGGCAATCAACTGAACCTGAGTTTGCTTTGCTCATTTGGAAATTGGGATGAAAAGTACCAACTTTATCTAGGTCAGAGTGACCATTCAAGTACCAACTTTGAATAACATTTTATTCCCATTCTCATAAGGAGCACACAGCACAGAGAGAGGTACCACAATCAGGGTTTGATTTGAACTGGGTTCAGTAACACATTCAAGGGAACTAAGTGGGATACACATTTAAAATGCGACCTAGTGACTTAGAGGTTTCTATGTCTATGCACAAATACTGTGCAACTCATTGTACTGATGCCTTAGCAAAACACTGAAGCATTTTGGCTTTCAGTTGCCTTAAGTGGAATTATGCCAGTGATTCAGTTAGTCCAATATTCATAGCTTACTAATTGATCACAATTCACAACACCACTGGGAAGGAGACTTGAAGGTCCAGTTGAGGTATTAGTAACAGCATCATTATGATTGCTAGACTAAAGCCAGTGATAATCTTCTTTCTTTTTAATTCCCAATAGACGGAGAGAGTGAATAAAAGTTAGGTAAGAGAAAGAAGCAGGCTGTGGTTTCCCTTGTTTGGGTAACCACCACTGCTTAGATAACCTAGCCACATGCTTTTATTTGGCATAATAGCCTGAGTTGTGTCACTGTTCTACTGTTAACTGGTACTTAATGATTTTCTGTGACTTGATTCTGCAGTATCATGATTTTACCAGGTTCTCTTCACCAAAGACCACTGTGCTATAGTATAAATAATCCTCTCTGTATCAAACGCTGCTCATTTTGCTTGAGGCATCAAAACTTTGCTGTGTGAGGAAAACCTTCATCCTTAATTTTAAGAAGGTCCTAAACTACAGATTTTCACTTATCATATTCATACCAATAATTGTAGGTGTCGTGGGCAGAGCAACAATATGAAAAAAAGCGAACTAAGCGTGTCACCATGAGAGACTCAGCAGAAAGTCTTTTCAATGATCCCATGTGGAATCAGCAGTGGTATCTGGTAAGGATTTATTTCATCATGGAACTGAGGGTGGTGGATTTTGGCTGTGCTGTCACCTGCATTATTTTGCAAGTATCAGGTTGAAGGGAGTAAAAGAAGAGTCACTTTGTTATCACATGCTGTAAAAATGAGAGATCTCTGTGCACAGTATTTCCAGGCAGCCACCTATTTTCTTGGAAGTGTCCTTTGCACAAAGATTCTAAAAGCCAGTTCAGGGTGCTGCTTAGGCTGCTGCTTACAGAAATGGTAACAGTTAAGAGCTACCTTTATAATTACTTTAAATGACTCTCAGTGTGTAAGAAGTTCCTTTATCATGTCTGAAACTGTCCAGGTATTTATTAAAATTGGTACTGCAGACAAAGACAAAAGCTTATGCATCCTTGTGACAAGCACCTTCAGCCTCTTGGACTAGCATTTAAGTATGAGAGGGTATCTATAGCTCCCGTGTTCAAAACCTCAGGGAAATAAATTTCCTGAGCTCTATAGTTTCTGTCTGCATGTGACAACTCAAAACCACAGTTGATCATTTGTGTTTTTATATGGTTTCTTTCAAGAGCCTCTGTTTCCACTGTGCACCTCTATGTACCCTCAGTCTAGGCTTCATTGCTTTCAGCCAGAACAGGGATGGGATTAAAGGTGAGGATAGCAAATCAAGAAAAGAGGTCAAGCACAAATGTGGCCCAAGTGGCTGGAAATGCTTTTCTGTTCTTCAGTTCAGCTTAGAGAAAACAGACCAAACTCCAGGCAGCTTCTATAATGCTTTGCCCTTTCTTTCCTTCATTTGAGCTAGGAAACAGAAATGATAAACCACACAGCATAAAATACTTTCATGAAGAATCCTTCAAACTTCTTTTCAACAGGAAAGGAAAATTGTTATCTCTAAGAATTTTGACTTTTCTTTGAAGCAGAATATCTGTTTGCTTCCCAGCCTGCATCCAAAATAAGCAGGAAAGTTCTGAGATTATTAGACAAATAGTGCAAACACAGAGTTCGTAATTCCTTTTCCCAATTTTTTATGGTGTTCACTTCTTTTCCCTCTGGTTTTCCCACACGAGAGAGAGAAACATGCTGCTAACCCTTGTCTGCAGTGCACACTGGATTTTTCTGATTAAGTGCATAAATGTGTTAAATATTTTCTTCCAAAATATGTTCCTTGCCTTGTAGTGAATAGCTCATTATTACTTTATTTCTATGACTTGATGGGAACAGTTTTAGCTCTGTTCAGTGTACCTTCACACATCACCAGCAAAAAAATATTATTTGATGGATTCAAGAGAACAAAGCTTGAAACCTCAAATAGTTTTCTGAATGGCAGCAGCCAGAAAAAAACAGGATAAAATGAAAGAAATGTCATTCCCATAATAAATTTCTTTTCCTAAGCCTCGTATTCTATGCAGCATTTCTTTGGAAACAGGGAAATAAAAAAACCTGTGATCAACTGACATACTAATGCACAGAGAAACACAAAGAAATGGCTTCTTTTTAAATCTGTGCTTTTATGGGGGTCGTAAGCAAGTTTTCTAAAGTACATGTATGTACTGCACACAATATTAGAGGGGAAAAATGACCCATTTAGGAGCTACTCCTCAAAAAACTTGCAGTGGAAGAGAAGGCTGTAGATGATTCATACTTCCAGCTGATTTACCACAGGAACAGTAATGAGGGTAGTAAACAAAGTTGTGATTCAACATAGTTGTTCCCAACCAAATGACTACCTCAATTGTTTTATCCATTAATTATTTTGCTCTGGCTAACTTGAACGTCAAAGGAGAAAACACATCTGGAGAAAATGCAGCTTACGGTACTGTGGGTACTGTCTTGGCTTCTCATCAAATGCAAAGAACAAACATTAGCAGGTCTGATGATTAACTTGGCGTTCCAAGGTCCATCCATGCATCCCTCCCATTCCTACATGTCTGCTGCCTACCTCCATAGAATACAAGATGCTCTTTGTTCATAGCTGATTTTCAGGGATCTTCAAGTGGTAGGGCAAATCTTTCAGTGCTGCAAGTATTTGATGAAACAATTTTTGCTTTATCTCAGTAAGATTTGAGCAAAATATACAAGTTCAGGGTGAGATTTTTTAGAGTCTTTAAAATACAATTTTGGACAATTTTGCATAAAATGTTGATATATGTTAATCCTATCTGTCCTCCAGCAAGATACAAGAATAACTCCATCCCTGCCCAAACTGGATCTCCATGTTATTCCTGTGTGGCAGAAAGGGATTACAGGCAAGGGAGTTGTAATCACAGTACTAGATGATGGCTTGGAGTGGAATCATACTGACATCTATGCTAACTATGTAAGTTTGGGGAATGCTATGGAATAAATTAACCAGTTGTAAATTTGATACAGGGACACTCTTCTCTAGCTCATTGTTCTCTAAGTCAGCTCCTACAGCACAGAGACTGAAATATTCGCCTTAGGCATGATTTGGAACCTGGTCTGTGTCACAGGAAGCTGAATGTAACTTAGCAATGGTAGTGGGGTGGGTATTTTGTTCCCTTGTTTTTCCTTCAGTGGATTTAGTTCTCAGGCATGTCTATATACAGTGGTTTAATGCTGAATTATTAAAGCTCCATGAAAAAATTATGGAATTGTTAATGGCCATCAAATTCTACCAGCCTGACTGCTGCCAATGTGAGGCACACCAAGTAAATAAATACAGGCTCTAGAACCCATTTTGTTGCATGTTTTGAAACACATTTTCTAGTTGTCTGAATTAATTCTGCCGTTTTTTCTTACATGTAGGATCCAAAGGCAAGTTATGATTTCAATGACAATGATCATGATCCCTTTCCTAGATATGACCCGACAAATGAGAACAAGTGAGTAGCTTCCCAGTTGTGTGAAGAGAACAAAACAGTGTGATATTAATTTGTGCTAGAAGGTACAAATGCAGAAATATCTATGTATGTCTCCTGTGGCAATTATGTAATAAGAGAAAGAATTTGTATAATGGAGTCACAGGATAGTTGAGCATGGAAGGGACCTCTGAAGGTCATCTGGTCCAACCCCCTGCTCATGCAGGGAGACCTAGAGCCAGTTGCCCAGGACTACATCCAGATGGCTTTTGAATATTTCCTAGGAGAGAGCCTCCACCATCTCTCAGGGCAACCTATGCCAGTAAAGAAATGTTGAATGTTTGGGGAACCTCCTGTGTTTCAGTTTGCACAAACATTCCCATGTAACGTTGGCACAAACATTGGAAATGAGGGAATTAAATTCCCAGATGAAGAGCTTCATAATTGTAATCACCCTACAATGCCCTGAATTTCTTCATATCTTTGTTATGTGCAAGGTACTAATATGTTTCTGTAAGCTAAAGGGAACCATCTGTTCATGTGACCCTGTGTGTTTCTGGAATGATACCTGCCTAAGCAGATGTTTACTTCAGTTCCCTGCTTTTCACTGGGGATTTTAAAAGACTATGCTTCCCATGAAGGGCTCTAGAAGAGACTGTGTCTCAGAGGAACCTACCAAGAAACCCATCTCTTCAGGTCAGCTTTTGTAGCTAAGGGCACTCTTTTCCAGTTCTGGCAGTACCTTTTGGGCCAAAAGAGCTGAGCTGGAACACTGAACTCCCATCTCAGTGCATGCTATCACAGGTGACCTCATATGGGTATGACACATGGTCAGATACTGCAGTAGGTTACAGTCACTCCCATGACAGTCCTTCTGTCTCTTCTGAGGCATATGGAAGCTTTATTTAGACCAGGTTTGGCCTAGATGTCCTTAAGGTAATAACATAGGAAGTTTCAACAGGCTTGAACACAAGACAATCAGTCAATTCACATAGTGGATTTGTGCGTCTCAGAGGGAGAGAGGACCTTCCTCCAATTTTCTCTAGAGCTACCTCTTTGACACTTGGTGAAACATCTTGATGGGTCAGTCACACCTAGGCATATCCATTGTAGTTCAGGAAGGAATTTTGTCTATGAGACAGAAAACAGAACAGGCCTCCTTAAAAGCTGATATACAAGAGAAGTTAATTTCTTAAGCAAATTAGGATACCACTACTTAATAAAGATAGAGTAAGAAACTGATGCACTGATTCCCTGTGGTCTATCACACAATACAGTAACATCCACAACATAAATCAGTGTATGGGGAAAAAAAGATCAGTCAAAGGATAAACATCTCATGAATAAGACTTTTGAAAAACAGCATTTCGGCTTTGTGAGAGTGTTATTTAAGAGCAAGAAGCCATCATCCTCTTGTTATGATGATATTATCTCTTAAATCTGCCTGTATTACCTCTAATATTTATTAATAAGCAAATGGAATGCAGCCCAGAAGCGTTCAAACATGTCATTGAATAATAATCTGTAGTATCAAATGAAACAACTCTCTTATATTTACCTGCATGAAGGTTTTCTGTATTGTGGAATTAGAATCAATTGTGGAAAAAAGAGAATTGCACAGAAAGCAGCTGGTTGCAAGGAAAAATTAGCAGCGGGGATACTTTAAAGGCTCACTCTGTGAAATCCTAAATAAATGCAGTCATTAAAAAAGGGACACCTAAACACATATTTAAAAACTACTTGTATCATATTTCTCTCTGAAGACAGATCTTTAGCCCCACAATTTTACATTACTTTTCCTGTCTACTACAATACTGGTATCTAATAGGTCTACAGACTTCAGTGTAACTTAAGTATTTATTATCTCATCACAACGATCCTTTGACCATTAAGTAGGTAAAATTATGTTTCTTGAAGCTTAAGAGTAACAAATGTTTTTTGTATCGTGTAGATACGACTCAAAAGCTATTGAATATCTGCATTGCATTCTTTTAAAGGGAGACTTTGACCAAATCAAGGTCATTGATGATTCTTTCTCTACATTACACTGAAGATGTTATGAGATATTGTTTATTCTTGTTGTATTTATTCAGGCATGGGACACGGTGTGCAGGGGAAATTGCCATGCAAGCCAACAACAGAAAATGCGGAGTTGGAGTAGCCTACAATTCCAGAGTTGGAGGTAGGAAAATGAAAATAATGAGATATCTATTACGAATGGAAACCAGACAGATCCTGAGTGTTTTCAGGTACCATTAATCTGCAATATGAATGATTGGTCATTCTCAGAAAACATGAATCATGCAGTATTAGAAGCTACAAAATCCTGTCTGGCCATAGACATGGACATGGACAGTGGATTGAGTGCACCCTCAACAAGTTCCCTGACCACACCAAGTGTGTGGGGCAGTCACAGCTGGAAGGAAGGGATGGGACATCCAGAGGGACCTTGACAGGCTTGAGAGGTGGAACAACAATGCAAACGGAGTTTAACAATGCAAACCTCATGGAGTGCAAGGTCCTGTATCTGGGCCATGGCAATCCCAGGTACAGCTACAGGTTGGGTGGGGAAGGAATTGAAACCAGCAGTGAGGAGAAAGACTTGGGAGTGAGAGTGAATAAGAAGCTGACCATGAGCTGCAGTGTGAGCTCATCTTAGAAAGCCAATGGAATCCTGGGCTGCATCCAGAGGAGTGTGGGCAGCAGGTCAAAAAAAGTGATTCTTCCCCTCTACTCTGTTCTTATGAGACCCCACCTGGAATACTCTACACAGTTCTGGTGTCCTCAGCATAAGAAGGACATGGAACTGTTGGAGGAAGTACGGACGAGGTCACAAAGTTGCTAAGAGGTCTGGAGCATCTCCCCTATGAAGACAGGCTGAGGGAGTTGGGGCTGTTCAGCCTGGAGAAGAGAAGACTGTGTGGAGA